AGTAGTAGTAGTAGTAGTATTATTTTATTACTACTATTCTTATTAGTAGTAGCAGCATCAGCCAAGAAGTGGTTCGGTTGACTTCCGGGACATATCTCTGGTTCCACTTCCCCTGTGTACAGCCGGCAACAGACGTCAAGCCAGCAGCTAGACTGATACAAGAACACTCTGATCAGGCCAATCAGGGAATACTCTTGTTCAGCCTACCAATGCGGTTCTGTCCTCAGAGTTGACCAAACGAGTTTACGAACAGTCACTGCTAAATGCCTGTCATAAAAATTTTGGAGGGAGGACAGACGTCAATTGCTCCATCTTCACGCTCGAGCATTTTTGTCGCGCTTGCTGCAGGTGTACTCGGCAACGTCATCGGATTGTGGAGTGACGCGGCCAAACCAGGCATTCGACACCACAGTAGTTGAGTATCTGATACGTATGCGGCAGCCTATCTGTGTGCTGCCGTCGTGGTGAGTGCTGTGTATACCTATCTGTAGCTGGGAGGCATGTCATCTTGGAGGCTGATGATCAACTCCTTGCTCATATGTGTAGAAGCACCTGTTTGACTTACACGTGTTCGTGCGTCCTCAAACACATGCGTTTCTATGTGCGCATGTACATGCGTGCATGCATACATACATGCGTAATTACCTACAAACACGAAAATAGATGATAGCAACACTTACATGTAAAACACGATGATGCAACAGCCACCACTGAGATCCAATGAGTAGGTTTAGAAGGTTAAACAAAGTACAATGCGTGTGTACATGTATTCGTGTATATCCACAGTGCATAATCACTCGTGTCCGTATTCGCAGGCAATCACAGCCGGCTGCCACGAGGAGAACAAGTAGCTGTGCATCATAGATCGTATAGCCAGCAGCCGCCTGTAAGTTGGATCCAGAACCGGAGAGACCAGCCAGGGACGTGTGTGTGTGTGTGTGTGTGTGTGCTTGTCCAGACATTTCAACCCAAGCAGAAGAATGGCAAGCAAAGAAGCAAGAGAGAGAGAGAGTCACATGCACATACGCACACACACACACACACGTATATACATACATACATACATACATACATACATACATACATACATACATAGATGCATGCATACATACATACATACATACATACATACATACATACATACATATTTACATAAATACATACACACATATTTACATAAATAAATACATACATACATACATACATACATGCATACGTACATGTAACATGGATATTTACACATACATTTGGACATACATACGCACATACACACATCTTCACTACATCCATATGTTCATATGTCCACAAATGCATACATGCTTGCATACATGCATACATGCATGCATTCACACATGCATGCGTGCATACACGCATGCGTACATATACATACGTGGCTGCATACCCTAACGTGCATTGCCACTTGATGTACAAGCTGAATGGCGTTTGTCGTGAAAGTCAACAACCACCTCTCTCAGAAGCTTGAGCCCTCACCCTCAAATCACCGCTCATTCTACTCAGGCTGGCATTTCTGAATTTCGCGGAGACTTGCCTCGATTTGGGAACCCTTAGCCAGTCGAGCTTGCAAACTTTCAGTCAAAGAGAGGTGACCTGCCGCTGAATGAGTCCCTGCTTTGAAAGTTCTTGGTCTTTGCATTCGGTGAGCGCCGTGGCTCCCTTGAGTCTCAAATTCGGAAAGCTACCTGAGTGTTTGTGCATCGGTTTCCGAAGCGTCGTTCGTTGTCGTAAGAATTAGCATGACGGATTGCGCAGTGATTTGCTCTGCAGCGTGTTGGGTGCTCATCGTGCTAACTGGAGGCCGTATCTAGGACTGCGAGAAACATGGCCAGATGTTGACTGTTTCCTGCTCCTTTGCATTTAAGTCAAGCAAATCGCTGGAAATTCTACAAGAAAGGAAGCCTGCCTTGTAAGAGCCTCAATCCTAAGGATCCAGTGGCTGCGCGAGCAGCTGTTCAAATCTTCTTTCGCCATGCGTCCCACGGCTGCAGAAACCTTCTGGCTCCTGAAGTGCGGGGAACCTTGACGGCTTCTGATGGAACAGGGCGCCCGTCTCGAAACTCACATCACTCCTGCTAGACGTATGAAGTCCTGACATTTTCAACGTGGAACCCCTGCGCACGAGGCTTTCAGAGCCATCGTGGGGGCGCACCCGAATATCCCAAGCAAGACTTCAAGGCTGGATATCGAGTGACATCAATGGGCAGAAGCAGCTAATCTACTCTGCGCTGACGTCAACGGGTGTTTCTGTCTGGCAAAGTGCGTTTTACCGCCGTTGCGGCACTTTTTTGGTTGCGTGCCTGGTCGAAGTTGCTTCGGTGTATCTTCACCTCGCCCGGCTAATACTGTACCGCAGTATAACGTATGTGACAGTAAGTTCAGAACATGCCTTACACACCAGCAGTCGCACCAACATCGGTCTTGCCGGCAGGCGTTAAGTTGTGGCATGTAGGTCATGGCACATGCTGTGCCAAATTGATAGCTATTGTATTGTACGTTTAGATAGCCATCAATACATGATGCCGGTCTATCCTAGTCCAGCACAGTGGTCCTGCAAGGCACTGCCATGCATCACATCACTCTGGTGCGGCATACCCTTGTGTAAGTGCTGTACGTGGCGTCGATGTCACCCTGCCGTCCAAGCAAATTCACATGTAAAGCCGTTGTACGATAGTACGAAACAGCTCGTAACATCACTTCTGCACAGTGTTGGAGGAGTCGTTGTACATCGCGGTTGTTGAACTGTCTGACCGAGTCTACTCAGTTGAGTTCTGCAGCCCAGATGGTAGGGCTTAAGGCACCACATGCGCGCATGCAGTTCGAGGGTAGGGAAGAGCAAGCTGCTTTCGACAGAATGAAGATTGCTCACCTGGCGCATTCTGGGAGGCTTGCCAAACAACTTGGCGTACTACTGCTTGCGATTCGGCTCGGACGCCCCGCTAGACGGCCCTGATGCTCCTTTGGTTTTTGCATTTGGAAGTCGCGTGCCACTGCAAGTGGCAGTGCAGCGGCTCGTGACGGAGGAAGCATTGCGCACAGCGCAGCAACTTCTTGACACGGAGGGCCAGCGACGCAGAGAGGAGGGTCTCAGCATAGTCGACATGGACTGGAGCCGGGTACGAGACGAAAGACATGGAACTCCGATGATGCCTTCAGAGCCTTCACCGAATTCGAGTATGCCGATGCCCGTGTTCAGGGGAATCATGCCGCGCATAACCTCGGAAATGCTACTTTGCAGCACAAGTGCTGTGTCCTTCAGGATCTGACCCAGTCGAAGTGTGCAATGCTGGCAGCTCTTGGTTTTCTCATGGTGGTCATGTGTCTGGGAAGTGCAAGACTCTGTCCAGTGTAAGTCGAAGGCGAGCCAAAACAGACAGAGGGACGGCCCTGCATGCATTTCCTGCATCACAGCTTCGAGGCTGCCGGTGAAAGCCAAAGACGCCTTTAGACAGGCATAGTGGTTCTCAGCAGAGCGGAACGGTATTGCCACGGCCCTCTTCAGCATCACTGTGCCAGCAACCCCGAATTTAAGGTTCTTTGTCGGGGATTTGGGCATGGAAGACACAGATCATCTGCTCAGGCCGGCTGTGCACTGGGTTTTGCTGGTAGTAGAACGTGGTCTTCGGATCCGGACCATTGCCTGATGCTGGGGGACTTTCAAGTGGCATGGTGTGTGTCTTGAACCGGACCTATGCAGTTCTTGCGGGTTTGTGATGCTGACTTCGAGTTTCCTCGAATCTTGCAGGTTTGTCGTAATCGATGTCCAGTTGTTTCCACTCACGGCATACAACCTCAGACATGCACTCCCGAGACCGCGGCAAGCCCAAGCAGGCTGATTCGTGAACACGAACGCCGCCACGGGCTTGTGATATTCATGTTCTGAGGCGCCCTTTGCCCGTGGCGGTGTTGTGCTTTTGGTCCAGGAGCCAAGCCATTGCCTTCAATCTATGGCCATGAAAGAATTCTGTGTCGTCTTTGGATTTCGAGGAGTGCTTCAAGCAAATTAACTACCTTCACTCCTGTGCCGGTTTGACACAGAAGGCTTCCGCTTGCCTTCTTGTCCAAGTGCGAGGGGACCGGGAGCTGATCGCAGGACTAAAACCCCTGCAACAACAGTGAAGTCATGCTTCATGTCGCAGCTGGTGCACCGATTGAGTATGGTGAGATGACTTCGACTTTTCGCAGATTCTGTGAACACCCGCGTCACGAGCTTACTGCCACGCAGCCCCCGAACTTCGGCCACACGCTGTCACCGCAGTCATCCTTGCACAGGTACCTCGATCCGGCCACGATTTGGTCCAGTTCTCGTGGACAAAGCAGATCCATGTAGAACCGATTTTCCAGGGGGTGGTGTTGGGCTTGCTTGAAAGATCCGCCCCCTCTGCCAGTGAGAACTGGTTGGATGAGCAACGAGTGGAGGGCGACGTTGCAAGCCGCAACGTGCTTTAGTGTTGTTCGCAAGGAGCGAACATCGGGATGCCCGATCGGCACATCAAGCAGGCTTCTGGGTGTTTTTTTGCGACCGGTTTAAGCAGGGCCGCCGCGGAGCATCGTGAGTCTTGGAAAGGCCGACAACAGATTAGATCCGTTCGAACTATCTTAGGCCATGGAACCGGCTGATCTTCTCTTGTGGCTTTCGTGGCAAGACGTTTGGGTTGAACGGAACTACTACTGCTTCTGCTGCCACTTCTGCTTCTGCCATCACCACTCCTACAACAGCTACGAAAGCTCGCGGAGCAGGGCTTGAGTTGAGTCTTGCTTTTAGACGCAGAGAGGCAGACGAGGCCAGCAACCAGAGTATTATGGATAGTGTCAATGTAAGGTGGGTGGGGAGCGGGGATTAATTGAAAGATTCACAGGATTCTCTGGGTAGTGTAGTAGACCTGATTCGTTATAGAACTCATCAGTGGCTCGACTCCGCAGCTGTTTGTGCAACGTGTCCGATGTCTGGGTGATTACCTTGTCGGAGGTGAGTGTCCTAGTCATGTCACTTGATCATTAGCATGTCAGCACTCTGACAGACTATGTAGTACGCTGTTCCCAATTCTGCTGCTACTACTACTACTACTACCACTACTACTACTACTACTACTACTACTACTACTACGACTACTACTACCACTACTACCACGACGACGACGACTACTACAACTGCTACTACTACTACTACTACTACTACTACTACTACTACTACTGCTACTGCAACTGCAACTGCAACTGCAACTGCAACTGCAACTGCTACTACTACTTCTACTACTACTACTACTACTACTACTACTACTACTACTACTACTACTAGGCTAGCGCGCCCTGAGGCGCCTGGGCGTTTTATGACACACATCTCGCGCCACTAAGGGGATTAGCGTAATTTTCGCAAGCGCGAAAAAAGCAGGAAATTGCGCAACTAATTTGGGGCTGATTTTGGGTGGTTTTGGGGTTCATTGTTGGCATCTTGGTGTGTAAAGGTGGTGCTTGCTCTTCGGACAAGAAAGACCAGCAGGCTAGTACTCTGCATACCTACGCAGCTTTGAGGCCATTGCTTGGTTGTGTTTGTTTTATAGTATTATGATTCTTTTTGTTATTAGTAGTGCTATGACAATTAACAGTATTATCAGTAGTGTTATCATTAGTATTAGTATAGGTAAAATTATTGCCACGAATACTACAATTCGTAGTATTATTGGAAGTATTTCTGGCTTCTCATGTTTCGGGTTTAGGCTTTCGGGCTCGGGGTTTAGGATTCTTGGGAAGGTTTCGGGCCCTGCCAAACCTATCATATCGGTTTTGCGACTGCTAGATCATCATCATCATCATCGTTGCTATATCATCATGAGAAGCATCATTGCCGTTGACATCGTCATCATGGTTGCGTCT